CTCAACTGGGTCATGGCTTTTACCTTCCGGGTAGCTACCCTCACAAATATGGTATTGGTGATGTCTTGTCTGTGAAAGTGAATTCCCTGACTTCAATTGATACTGAAATTCCCTTTAGCTACTATAGCTTACCCTTTTGCCAGCCCCAAGAGGGTGTTAAGGACAGTGCCGAAAACCTCGGTGAGCTCCTTATGGGTGATAGGATTGAGAATTCTCCTTACAGATTTAAGATGTACACCAATGAGACGGAGATCTTTCTCTGTCAAACAAAGCCATTGTCCGGTGAAGAGTTTAAGGTATTGAAAAAGAGGATTGATGAAATGTATCAGGTTAATTTGATTCTTGATAATTTACCCGCCATTCGGTATACTAGGAAGGAGGGTTTTTTCTTGCGGTGGACGGGGTATCCTGTGGGAATTAAGGTTCAAGATGTGTATTATCTGTTTAATCACTTGAAATTTAATGTTCTTGTTCATAAGTATGAGGATACAAATGCGGCTCGTGTGATGGGTACTGGAGATGGGGCCGAGGTGATCCCTATGGTTGGGAAGTCGGGATCAGAAAAGCCTGGATACATGGTTGTTGGGTTTGAGGTGGTCCCTTGTAGTATTCAACACACTGCTGAGTCATTGAAGAATTTGAAAATGTATAATACATATCCATCTGCGATCAAGTGTGATCCCACCACTGTGGCGATGGCTATTAAGGAGAATGAGCCTCTGGCATTTACATATGAGTTTTCGTTTGTGGAGAGTGACATCAAGTGGCCATCAAGATGGGATGCCTATTTGAAGATGGAGGGAGTGAAAGTCCACTGGTTCTCAATTCTCAATTCCCTTATGGTGACCACTTTCTTGGCTGGTATTATTGTTGTCATCTTCTTGAGGACAGTTCGTTATGAAGAGCTGAACAAAGAAGCCCAAGCCCAGATGAATGAGGAGTTATCAGGGTGGAAACTTGTTGTGGGAGATGTTTTCCACCCTCCAAACAACCCTTCTCTTTTTTGTGTTATGGTGGGAGATGGGGTTCAGATTCTAGGGATGGCAGTTGTGACGACTTTGTTTGCTGCTCTCGGGTTCTCGTCCCCGGCTTCTCGAGGAACTCTGGTTACAGGTATGCTGTTTTTCTACCTGATTCTTGGAATTGCGGCTGGTTATGTTGCTGTTCGTCTGTGGAAGACAATCTCTTGTGGTGATCACAAAGGATGGGTTTCAGTCTCTTTGTGGGTTGCTTGTTTCTTCCCTGGTATTGGCTTTTTGATTCTAATGACGCTGAACTTCTTATTGTGGAATAGTCACAGCACAAGAGCCATCCCTTTTTCTCTCTTTGTGATTCTCATTTTGTTGTGGTTCTTTATTTCAGTCCCCCTTACCCTTATTGGTGGTTGCCTTGGGGCTAGGGCACCTCATATTCAATACCCAGTTCGAACCAATCACGTTCCTCGAGAAATCCCAGCTCAAAGATACCCTTCTTGGCTTCTACTTCTAGGGGCTGGGATTCTTCCATTCGGTACACTTTTCGTTGAGATCTTCTTCATCATGTCCAGTATTTGGTCGGGCCGTGTATACTACGCTTTTGGGTTCCTCTTCATTGTTTTGACCTTTCTTGTGGTGGTTTGTGCTGAAGTGTCTATAGTTCTAACATACAGACATCTCTACATGGAGAACTGGAATTGGTGGTGGAAATCTTTCTTTGCTTCTGGTTCAGTTGCCATATACGTTTTCCTTTACTCCATAAAGTATCTGGTTTTCGATCTAAAGAGTTTGAGTGGACCTGTCTCTGCTACTCTTTACTTGGTATATTCGCTCTTCATTGTGCTGGCAATAATGCTTGCAACAGGCACAGTTGGGTTCCTTTCTTCATTTTGGTTTGTGCATTACTTGTTCTCCTCGGTGAAGCTGGACTGAAAAAACTTCCTTCAACTCAGAGACAGACTCTGTGAAAATAAGCAGCATTCGGCCATTGGAGAAATGGTCACAGATTTCATATATAGTAGATCTACTAATGTTTCTTGTCTTTGATATGTCTTTTTTATGGGAAGTTTGCAAAACTAAGACAAAATGGACACAGTCTCTGTATATAGTTGATATATTTATGTTTCTTGTCTTGAATTTATCTTTTTTCCGGCAAGTTTAGAAAATTAAAACAACTACTTCATCCAGATTTGCTAAAATTATTAACTAGATCGAAATCATGCATGATACTAAAGTTCCATTTTGGGGAATACCATGATTGTTAGTATTGAAACGTCAGATTCCCAACTTGTCATTGATTATCTGAATTTGTAGATGGTGGCTTTTCCCAAATAGTCAACATGTTTGTGCCATTTGTTTCAAGTGTTGCCCTCCAGAAACTATAACAATTATTCGGGTTTTCCTTGCAGATACAAGTAAGATATTGCTGTTTTTCTATCTAATCTCAGTAAAATGATAATTGATTTCATTTTTTTGTTCACCTGTGGTATTGTTGTTATACATTCATTTTACCTCCTACGCTTTTCCTGTGGTATATCATCTTCATATAACTTACCCAAAAAAAGAGTTGATAATTTGGAATGTTCCAAAAACATGTCTGAACATTGACGAAGTTGAAAAAAAAAAATGAAAATCTGGCAACATGCGCAACAATTCCATTTGTGATTAGGGAATACATAATATAGGATTTCATGTCTCTCTTGATTGCAATTCTTACTATTGTTTTCCCTTAAAAAAAAAAACTACTTTATTTTCTTAGTTTAAAAGTGTCTTACAATCCTTGCGTACAAATCATATGAATAATCCCTAATTGTGGATGATATGCTCTCAAGAAACATAATGTCTTCCATGTTCTTCTTTCTTTTGCTTAAAAACGAACTTGCGTTTGTACTTCTATCTTTGATAGTGAAGATAACTTCGTATATTAAAACTGTCTTACGATTACTGATCTGCATGAGGATGATAGGAGAATCACTTGGTCTTTTGTTTTGTTGTGAAATTCAAGTTTAAATATTTGGGTTCTTCGTATCACATGTTTGTATCTGTGCTCGGCAAGTGGTAATTCCTGGAAGAGTAAGCTAAGGATTCTTTTGTGCTAGAACGACAAGGTTTCAGTCTCAAAGGCATCTGTGATTTCAGTGCTAAACTCTGATGTTCCTTCCCAACAGCCCAAATCCCCTCTCTCTCTCATCTTCTTCTTCTTCTGATATCTGTGTTTCTTCCCTTTTTCTTGCTTTCTCTCTCCTGCTTCCTCTTCCTTTCTTCCTGCATACTTGATACATTGATGTTCAACACAATACACATACCTTCTTCCAAACCCCACCCTTATCTTTTCTCTAATACTTGATCTATTTCATTCACCTCACATGACTCTGATTCACAGAGTCTTCACACATTTATACATGAAAAAAGCATGACGATACCCATAGCCTACCACCTCCTCCTTGCTTTTACTTTCTTCTTTTTGTTTTTTCCTTTTTGAATAGTCTGGAATAGTTTATGTAAGGTTGCCGCATCAACTTTAAATTTACCTAATCACTCATAAAATTACATATATCGATTAAATTCATATTTTTAAAAATTTGTAAAACCTTTTAATCTTAAAATCGAGTTTTACCCTTTACGAAATTTAAATCTTATGGGACTGGTGAAACAAGAACTCATTAGGGATTTAGACACTCAAGTGGATCCAACATGTGCTACATAGTTCGCTGACTATCCACATAAACCAAACAAACAAACAAAGCTGAACATGCTGGAATGCTCTACCAATTTTATGAACAGTTTCCCTAGTTTCTGCACCAAATTTTTTCAAGATTGGATTTTTACCCCCAAAACTATTTATTATTTACAAAGTGACCCCAGTATAATTTATCACAAAACTATTTTATTTATTTCTTTCAGAGGGTAGATAGTTTTTTACTTATTTCGTTCGACCATACATACAAGTATCTCGGAAGACACTTATTCACATAGTCTTTACACATTTCTACCAATCATTCCCCCAAGATTTCCCATAATTGAATTTTGACCCGCAATCGAACAAAACCAAACAACACACAGAGAGAGAGAGAGAGAGAGAGATACTTTAGTGGCGACCGTTTATCCGTTAATTGTGGCTACTCTGCTCTTCAGCCTACGCTCTCTCTCTCTGACGCCCCCCCACACACACACGCACAGAAGAGCTCTCTGCTTCATCGGTGATGATGTTGCATCACTCATCTACTGCTATTCACTTTCGCGATGTCTCTTCGACTCCAGCTTGCTCTTCTCTCACTCTATCCCTCTTCCCCTCATCTCTCTCATCATCAACTTCTTCTTTCTCTTCTATCTTTACCTCATCCCTATTTTCCCAGCAACATTTTTCATCTTTGGGTTTCCATGGACATNCTACTGCTATTCACTTTCGCGATGTCTCTTCGACTCCAGCTTGCTCTTCTCTCACTCCTCTATCCCTCTTCCCCTCATCTCTCTCATCATCAACTTCTTCTTTCTCTTCTATCTCTACCTCATCCCTATTTTCCCAGCAACATTTTTCATCGTTGGGTTTCCATGGACACNTCTCTCATCATCAACTTCTTCTTTCTCTTCTATCTTTACCTCATCCCTATTTTCCCAGCAACATTTTTCATCTTTGGGTTTCCATGGACATACCCATTTCAATTCCACCTCTAAACAAAAGGTTAGTATTTCCAACCGTTTTGTATATTTCTCAATACATAAAAATATTTTTTTTGCTGTTCATTACATATAAATATGTGCGCACACATATTGGAGGATTTAAGCCCTTTATTTATTAATTTTGGGATATGAATTGCTGTGATAAAGTGGGTCACCTGCACTGGTTTGAATTTCATGTAAGATATAGCGAATCAACAAAAAAAATGTTTGATTTTGTGATATTACTGTCCCAACTCAAGTTGTTATGATGACAGTTATTTATTCATTTCTATATTACCAACCAATGTGGAGAGATCTGTCTCTTTCTTTCACTTTCTGAGCAGGGATTGAAGGTCAAGTGTTCACAAATTGAGCCTTTGAAAGTGATGATATCCGGGGCCCCAGCTTCGGGTAAAGGGACTCAGTGTGAGATGATTGTTGAGAAGGTTAGTTGGTCTTCACTGTACCTCTAATTTGTCCCTTTATTGTTGACATTAAAAAATTGGGTTGGTTTCTAGTAATTGATGTTGGGAAGAAAGGTAGTATGGTAGTAGAAGTAGGAATTCAAGATGAAATTGGCATTTAAACGGTTGTTTGTTATGATTCGTGTTGATTGGACTGAAAGCTAGAGTACAATCAAAACAATCGAATTGTAAATGCATAATATACAAGACCCAATAAAAACAGTTATTGCAGTTGTGAAGATGCCTCATTGATGTTCACTTGGTTTTTGTCACGCACAAGATATGAATAGTTTTAAAGCGTGTAGACAGTAGGGAGTAACAAGTTAGAGGCGAACAAATTTAGGAAGATTCCCTTTACGATTTTCATGGTTTGTTTCTCTTTGGCCAAAAGGTTTTATGAGCTGTTTTCCGGTTTCCATGTAATGCATAAATTATCAATGAAACCATATCTTAGCTTTGTAAATCACCATCCATGACTTTTCCTTTTGGTCTTCAGTTTGGAGTGGTTCACATATCGACTGGAGATCTATTACGAGCTGAAGTATCAGCTGGCACCGAAATGGGAAACAAAGCAAAAGAGTACATGAATGCTGGTCAACTAGTTCCAGATGAAATTGTGACAGCTGTATGATATGATTTTTCATGTTATTTTTTTCCTTCGAAAAAAGTCTGATTTTTCATGTTATCGTTACGTTTCCTTATCAAAATTAGTGGATACGAACCCTTTGCTTTGTAGATGGTGACAGGACGATTATCACAAAAAGATGCAAAGGAGAAAGGGTGGCTTCTTGATGGATACCCACGGAATTTTCCCCAAGCACAGAGTCTAGAGAAAATGAAGATTAGACCAGATGTTTACATCATGCTAGATGTATGCCAGTATTTCTTTTACATATGTAATTGCTTTTCCTTCAATATTATGAAATTGGTGGAAGGTTACTGAATTTATTTTTAGTTTAAAGTTTACCAAGATACGTTGAATTATTCATGGTAGCAGCCCTTCTGAACAAGATAGCTCTTTGTGGGATAGTTTATTTGATTCTTTTTGCCATTGGAAGCTGTATATCACTCGTTGGATAATGTTAAGTTGAGAGAATTAACATAATACAATATTAGAGACAATATTAGAGAGAAAGAGGGAGGTTAAAAACTTAACCTAACTCTCATACATCACTTGTATTTATAGTTAACTCGCAATAATAAGAATTATACATACACTCTTTTACTATTAACAATTTACACATACTACCCTAATATTCTTAACACTTCCCTTCAAGCTGGACTATATATATCATATAATCCAAGTTTGGAACGAATCGCTGTAAGACGTGTACGACTCAATGCTTTGGTAAACATATTTGTAAGCTGATCTTTAGATTTCACAAATAGAATTGTAATCTCCCTAGCTACTATCTTGTCCCGAATAAAGTGACAATCAATCTCAATATGTTTGATTCTCTTGTGAAATACCGGATTGACAATGATATGGATAGTTGTCTGGTTGTCACAGAACAACTGTAAAGGAAGTTGAACTGGAAACCCAATTTCTTGGAGGAAGTGTAGTAGCCAAGTCAATTCACACGTCGTATGCGCCATGGCCCTATACTCAGCCTCAACACTGGATCTTGCTACCACAGATTGTTTCTTACTTTTTCATGAGACAACGTTAGCTCCTAAGAAAGTACAATAACCAGTGGTTGATCTCCGATCAGAAGGAGAGTCAGCTCAATCAGCATCTGAGAAACCTTTCACTCTAAGATATCCATTAACTCGATATAATACTCCAAGTCCAGGAGCTTATTTGAGATATCGTAGAATACAAATAACTGCCTCCCAATGTGGTACTCTAGGACACCCCATGAACTGACTGCATAAAAAATATTCGGTCGAGTAATAGTGAAATAATTAAGCTTCCCAACTAATCTGCGATACCGACCCAGATTCTCAAACAGTGCACCATCATCCAATAGTTTTTGATTCGAATCCATAGGAACATCAATCGGTCTACCACCCAACAAACCTGTTTCCTCTAGCATGTCAAGCACATATTTCCTCTGTGATAAACAAATACCTTGTTTAGATCGAGCTACTTCAATTCTCAAGAAATACTTGAGTTTTCTCAAATCCTTAGCATGAAATCGATCTTGCAAGAAGATTTTTAACTTGGCAATCTCCTCAGAATCATTTCGAGTGGTCATAATATCATCTACATAGACCACCAATAGAACATATCCAGCACCCATCTATCTATAAAACAAAGAATGGTCTGTCTGACATCAAAGAAGACCAAACTCTAAAACTGCATCTGAAAATTTACCAAACCATGCTCTCGGTGACTGCTTCAAACCATACAAAAATTTTTTTAACCGACATACACTTTTACCATACTCCCCTTGAGCAATAAATTTAGGTGGCTACTCCATATATACCTTTTCAACCAAGTCACCATGTAGGAAGACATTTTTGACTTCTAACTCAAACAAGGGTCAATTAAGATTAGTAGTCAAAGAAATCAAGATACAAACAGAGGAAATTTTGGCAACAGGAGAGAAAGTCTCCTCATAATCAATACCATAGGTCTGAGTAAAGCCCTTTGCAACTAACCAGACTTTGAGACGTTCCACAGAACCATCCGGATGAAATTTAACAGCATACACCCAATGACAACCAATAGTTCGTTTACCAGGAGGTAAAGGAACGAGATCTCAAGTCCCAAAAATGATGTAAGGCGTCCATCTCATCCTCCATAACTTTCGTCTAACCCGGATCAAATAATGCATCCTGTAAATGCTTAGGAATAGATAGAGTAGATAATTGAGAGGTAAAACAAGAGAAGATAGGAGACAAGGCATCATATGTAACAAAATGAGCAATAGGATGATTAGTAACACACGAACAAGTACATTTTCGAAGAGTAATAGGTAAAGAGTCTAAATTACCTAATGGACCAGGATCAGAAGGCGGCAAGGAAGACGGTACGGGCAGCTCAGGCGATGGTCGAGGACGACGAGAGTATATACGAAGAGGTAAAATAGATGGTAACATAGTAGGCAGTAGAATATCTGAAGATGAGGAAAGAGATGGTGGTACAAGAGATGGCCCAAAGTCCAGATCCAAAGGCTGAAAAGGTGCTGAAAAATATGGAATAGATTCCTCAAATGTGCATCGGCATTAGTAAAGTAGTGTCGCATAGAAGGACTGTAACAACGATACCCCTTCTGTGTGAGGGAATAACTAAGAAAAACACATTTGGTAGTTCGAAGGTCAAGTTTATCAAACTCAGGATCCAAATTGTAAATATAACAGACACATCTAAAAACCTTAGGAGTTAAAAAAAATAAGGGCTTATTAGCAAAAAAGACAGAATATGGACTTTGTCCATTTAACACAGAGAATGACATATGATTAATAAGGTGACAAGCATTAAGAACAACATCACTTCAAAAATATTAGAGAATATTCATTTGAAATAACAAGGCATGGGTGATTTCCAACAAATGACAGTTTTTGCGTTCAGCAATACCGTTCTGTAGAGATGTGTAAACACAAAAAGTTTAATGAATAATGTCATTTTTACTAAAATAAGTTAAAAAAGGATCAGATTCATATTCTCAAGCATTATTAGAACGTGAAATATGTATATGACAACCATATTTAGTTTTTATTTCCTTACGAAAAGTTTCAAAGATAGAGAATAATTCAGACCGAGCTTTCATAAGAAACAACCAAGTCACATGAGAATAGTCATCCATAAATAACACAAAATAAGGATATTTATTAGATGAAATATTCTTTATTAGACTCCATACATCAGAATGTACCAACTCAAATGGACTAAACACACGATTATTGACTCTAGACTGAAATGACACACGATTATTGACTCTAGACTGAAATGANTATGAAATCGATCTTGCAAGAAGATTTTTAACTTGGCAATCTCCTCAGAATCATTTCGAGTGGTCATAATATCATCTACATAGACCACCAATAGAACATATCCAGCACCCATCTATCTATAAAACAAAGAATGGTCTGTCTGACATCAAAGAAGACCAAACTCTAAAACTGCATCTGAAAATTTACCAAACCATGCCCTCGGTGACTGCTTCAAACCATACAAAAAATTTTTTAACCGACATACACTTTTACCATACTCCCCTTGAGCAATAAATTTAGGTGGCTACTCCATATATACCTTTTCAACCAAGTCACCATGTAGGAAGACATTTTTGACTTCTAACTCAAACAAGGGTCAATTAAGATTAGTAGTCAAAGAAATCAAGATACAAACAGAGGAAATTTTGGCAACAGGAGAGAAAGTCTCCTCATAATCAATACCATAGGTCTGAGTAAAGCCCTTTGCAACTAACCAGACTTTGAGACGTTCCACAGAACCATCCGGATGAAATTTAACAGCATACACCCAATGACAACCAATAGTTCGTTTACCAGGAGGTAAAGGAACGAGATCTCAAGTCCCAAAAATGATGTAAGGCGTCCATCTCATCCTCCATAACTTTCGTCTAACTCGGATCAAATAATGCATCCTGTAAATGCTTAGGAATAGATAGAGTAGATAATTGAGAGGTAAAACAAGAGAAGATAGGAGACAAGGCATCATATGTAACAAAATGAGCAATAGGATGATTAGTAACACACGAACAAGTACATTTTCGAAGAGTAATAGGTAAAGAGTCTAAATTACCTAATGGACCAGGATCAGAAGGCGGCAAGGAAGACGGTACGGGCAGCTCAGGCGATGGTCGAGGACGACGAGAGTATATACGAAGAGGTAAAATAGATGGTAACACAGTAGGCAGTAGAATATCTGAAGATGAGGAAAGAGATGGTGGTACAAGAGATGACCCAAAGTCCAGATCCAAAGGCTGAAAAGGTGCTGAAAAATATGGAATAGATTCCTCAAATGTGCATCGGCACTAGTAAAGTAGTGTCGCATAGAAGGACTGTAACAACGATACCCCTTCTGTGTGAGGGAATAACTAAGAAAAACACATTTGGTAGTTCGAAGGTCAAGTTTATCAAACTCAGGATCCAAATTGTAAATATAACAGACACATCTAAAAACCTTAGGAGTTAAAAAAAATAAGGGCTTATTAGCAAAAAAGACAGAATATGGACTTTGTCCATTTAACACAGAGAATGACATATGATTAATAAGGTGACAAGCATTAAGAACAACATCACTTCAAAAATATTAGAGAATATTCATTTGAAATAACAAGGCATGGGTGATTTCCAACAAATGACAGTTTTTGCGTTCAGCAATACCGTTCTGTAGAGATGTGTAAACACAAAAAGTTTAATGAATAATGTCATTTTTACTAAAATAAGTTAAAAAAGGATCAGATTCATATTCTCAAGCATTATTAGAACGTGAAATATGTATATGACAACCATATTGAGTTTTTATTTCCTTACGAAAAGTTTCAAAGATAGAGAATAATTCAGACCGAGCTTTCATAAGAAACAACCAAGTCACACGAGAATAGTCATCCATAAATAACACAAAATAAGGATATTTATTAGATGAAATATTCTTTATTAGACTCCATACATCAGAATGTACCAACTCAAATGGACTAAACACACGATTATTGACTCTAGACTGAAATGACACACGATGATGCTTACTAAGTTGACAAGTTTCACAAGACAAAGACGACACAAAACTAAGACTGGGAACTTGGTGCTTCAGATTCTGGAGAGAGGAATATCCAAGACGATAATGCCATTGAAAAGGAGACAACGAGGTCTATAGAGCCCTATTCCTTCACTGATTATGGTTTCTACCAAACCCTATTCCTTCACTGTTGACTGCGCCAAGAGAACACCACCAAAGACCACTATGAGTGTCAACCACACACCACTACGAGGCAAAAATCAGACTACACCACCACGAAGGAAAAAAAAAAAAAAAGACAGACGCCACCAGTCGACTGCACCACCACGAAGCAAAACCCAAACAACACCAAGTTAACACCACCAACGTCGACTACATCAATGACAGCAACACCACCACGACAGCAACAACACCAGTTTGGGTTAATATTTGTATTTAGAATAACCTTGCTCTGATACCATATTAAGTTGAGAAAAATAACATAACACAATATTAGAGAGAAAGAGAGAGGTTAAAAACTTAACCTAACTCTCATACATCACTTGTATTTATAGTTAACTCACAATAATAAGAATTACACATATACCCTCTTACTATTAACAATTTACACATACTACCCTAATATTCTTAAAAGATAACATAAATGAATTTAGAATCTTGTGCTAACATTGCCTCCTTGCCTGAGTGATTGGTGTTACACGAAACAAGAGCTTTTGCATGTCTCTGCATGTGTTTGCATGAGAGATCCCATTGGGAAGCATCATGACTTTGTCATCAAATATTTAACTGAAATCTTCCAGATGCAGGGGCATGTGACTTTGGAGTCATTTTATCTCATTTTGACCTTAAATCTAATCGTGCTTTGTACATATAAAAATACAAAGAAGACTAAAAGTTTCTGAAACTGGGTATTTTACAATAAATATAGTCTGCATACTTTTTTCTATTGCTAATTAGTGGCAGGTTTCATGGGATTAATCTTTTACAAAGATGTGATCTCTTTATACTCAGGTTCCTGATGAAATTCTAATCGACAGATGTGTTGGTCGAAGACTGGATCCTTTAACAGGAAAGATCTACCATATAAAAAATTTCCCCCCAGAAACCAAGGAAATTGAAGCAAGACTCATAACTCGTCCTGATGACACCAAGGAAAAGGTACGTCTACTCAGCATTGATGACCTACCTTTACGTTTTCTTTATCACTGGCTGCTTGTGAATTCTTTGTGAGACATAAGAATATCAGTGAAGATAAAAGGGTTTTAAAACCTTCAAAACAATGTATGGCCTATGGGACAGACAAGCAGATTTCAGTTGGAATCTAAGTTTAGAAATTGTTTCAATGACTGCAAAGTAACATTTGCTAACCCCTTTTGCCCTAAGCCGGATTCATCTAGAGGAAAAAGGAGACAAGAAATGAAGGGGATTTCAATGGCAGTTTTAACCTTGTGGCCTCCAATGCACTAGATCAACCTTTTGTTTTGCAGAGAGCAACACTGTAAATAATCTTAAGGTTCTGTTAAAGACTAATGCAATCCTTTTCTGAAGTAATTGGTTCTCCTAAGCCATCAAACTGGCCAGAAGCAATGTATATGATATCATTAATCTGCAACACTTTAAAAATCTAATCTGGCCGCTTCTTAATTTCATTCTAAGTGAAAGAACTACAATGTAGTTGTATTGCTTCAAATCAGCAGCGAGGACAGGATACATCTAGGCTCATTTTTGCATTTTTATCAGTAAGCCTAAAAGTAGAGATGAATTTGTGACGAAGGTTGACAGTGGATGACAGCCGTAGATGACAAATTGTGTTACCTAAGCGAGTGATCCCCAAGGAGGGGAAGATTGATGGGGATATTCCAATAGAAACTGAATAGGACGGATTTATGTAGAAGCCTTGATGCAAAATCAAAGAGGAAATAACAGCTGATGATTGTAAGGCAGCCAGGCTCTATGGTGAAAGGTATGAGAGTGATAACTGATGATTGCAAGGCAGCCAGGCTCTATGGTGAAAGGTAGGAGAGTGAAAATCTGTCAATGACAAACTTTTCTTCATGCATGAAGAAGGTGTAAAGTGTGTAGCAATATGAGTAAGGCTTTGCATTATGACCTATTACCTTGAGATGAGTTGTGAAGTATATAAACATTCAGTTGTGCAATGATTTCTTCTGGTGATAGAGTTCACAAATACAATATTCTCTCAGAAGTTTGGCAATGATTCAACAGAGTTTGCATTAAGTCTGCTGCTACAACTTTAAAATTGATCACCTAAGTGTAGGTTGTGCGAAGTAATAAATTTCTCGAGAGTCCGAGGTTGAACCACAAGGAATTGTGAAAACAAGAGACACAAAACAAATAAAAGAAAACTGTTTTGAAATTTATTTGAGTAAGAATTTATTCAATAGAAGAAAGGTGGGTTGGTTAAAACAATAATTGAAATACTAAAGCATCGGAGATACCCTTTCAAATCCACACAATAATTATTAATGATTTAGTTTTCGAACTCAATTGAGAATCAGCTGAGGAGTGATCCCAATTGAAATATTTAGCGGTGATAATATGAAAATATCAAAAGTTATCATTAATAAATTATCTGAATAAATATAAAAATTTACTTATAGATTATAAGCATTCACTGTGCCCGGAACATACGATAAATCAAGTTTTCTAACAGATAAACATTATTTTATTGCAAATAATAAATTAACTATCTTATGAGAAATTCTAATTAATTAATTCAAAAATGAAATAACCAATTATTTGACTTCCGGGGAATCTCAAGCATTTAATGTACGTGGCACAATAAATCAAGAAATTATACTGAGCAAAAACTTTACTAAAAGATAAGAATTAAATTAAAAGAATAAATCGTGCATTAAAAAGAACATTGAATCAATAATAAATACTATGCTTCATTGAAAGTATTTTCTCTATCTTTAGTTGGGCTTTTAGTAAGCCATAGAATTAGAACAAAAACTAGAAAAAAAAATATGAAAACAGAATAATAATCTTAATCATTCCCTCTCAATAGGTGAGAGCCCTTATTTATACTAAAATAAGGCCTAAGTATAAGTAGGAGATCTAAGGTAGGGTTGAGAGGAATTCCTTTCCAAAAAGAAGTCTTTTAAGGTTAAATTCCGTGCATAAAATCTTGGGGACCGCAGATACCAAATTTGTCTAGAATTTGATCTTGAATTTCCCATATTTAGAGACCAATTCACAAAATTTTTGTAAAATACACTTTTATAGCCCTTGAAGTCTTCTTTCCAACCCCGCAAAAATCAGGTCAATCGGATATTGGAGTCAAAAGTTATGATTAAAATACTGAATACCTGTTAAATCCTTATCTTCTAGAATACTTTCCTAATCCAACTTTAAATGAGTTTTCTTTTCACTTGGACTCTTATAAAAATTAAATTGTCACATTAATTTCAAATCTTCCTATCTTAATCTTGACTCTTCAATCTTTATCAATTGTAATTCTTCCTCTAGTGATTGTTTCACTTGTTTTATCTATTATTAATTTAAATCAACCAATTTACCTACAAAATAAATCAAACAACTAAAAAATGTATCAAACTAAAAAATCCATGAATTTATCACATTTAATTACAAATAATATGCAATTAATCAATCATTAAATATAATAAAATAACATTTTTGATGGTTAATCATCTGCCACCTCTCTAAATCTTCTTCATCCGCCTGTAACCTCAGAAGTTGACCAGTCAGCCTGCTGTTTGGAAAAAAAAATGATGAACAGAAATAGAATATGTCCATTGGCGGACAAAATATCTTTTAGTCTGAAATATGTCCTTCTTTGTGTAGAAATTATATCATTCATAAGGCAAACATAAATGCATCTTCAGAAATTAGAGATGAAACTAACTGAAGATATGGTGAGGGAACTTATTTGAGGTGTTAATTTCATCCAAGCTCAATGAAGGCCAATAAAGGCATCATTGAGGATCAAAATTAGGAGGCCGAACAGGACATGGATTGAGGTGGTGAGAAAGAACGTGAAATCATGACTGCAAGGATTTAACTGAGGACTTGGATGTGGACAGAACAAACCATCAAGTTCGAGTTTTTGTGATCAAGTCCTTGCAGGTTTTAGTCCTGCTGAGGGCTTGGTGGGTTGAGATTTTGTTAGATTATTAGTTTACCCATGGCAGAAACCAACACAGTTTTATTCATTCCGATTGTACAATCTTCCCCTTAGACTTTTCAACGTTTGCCTAAATATTAGTTACAGAGGCCATAGTTTATGCCTTTATGGCTTGCCTTGTATTCCAAATGTTGGTCATAGTCTTTCATATCATGGCAAGACATCATTGAGATAGCATGGCAAGACAGTGTTGTTCAACATGTGTGATTGACGTTACATCAAATCAAACAGTGCGGGAAGTATATTTACTCTTTAAACACAATTTATTTGTTCCTTTGTTAACCTAGTTACTTGTTCTGAATCATAGAATGCCTTTTTGTGAACCCAACTCTACTCACTATAAGCTCTTGTATTGGCACCTATCATGTACAATACAGGTGAAATCACGTCTGCAAATATATAAGCAAAATGCAGAGGCAGTCATTTCTGCATACCGAGAGATACTGAATAAGGTGTTTTCATCCCTCAGTTATATAGATTTTGCATACTCTTATCACATTTTCTGTTTGAGTAATTATATTTGTTCATATTTTGATTTACAGATTGATGGAAATCGTCCTAAAGATGTAATTTTCAAAGAAATAGACTCTTTGTTGTCACAAATACAGAAAAAGAAAGTGGAGGCAGCGAAACTAGGTATTAGTTAGGTGTTGAGACACAATATTTATGTTCTCATCACAGATATTTGATACGATACCATCCTACAGTGGGTGGTCGAAAAAAAAAGTGTTAGTGTACACATGAGAAAATCTACAAAATTTTGCTAATGGATTCTTCAAATATCTTTTTTTATCTCTTATACTTTTATCATACCTTCGATGGTCTCAATCTCTTATAATCTATCTATGTGCATATCACTAGGGTGATTTAGTATGTCCTAGCCCATCATGATTTGGGTGATAATTCTATGTATATGGTGAAAATTTTGCTTGAACCTAGCAACCCATTGGCATAATTCAAAAATCTAAAGTTCACCGAGCAGTGGACTATTTTCTTTCAGTCGAACTTCATTCTGTTTCTTATCTACACCAGGAAAACCAGCAATTGAAAGTGAAATCCACATAAAGAAAGAATCCTCGAGCAAGGTATCTGGTTATGAATTTTAAAATTCTTCTCTCCCAAAATTTCCATTTTATATTCATGGGGGATGAGAAGCTGTAGATGAACATACCTTGTGGCTCTGTCACTTTCTCATTGTAATTTATGGACATCTTACAGGAAACTTGGAGAGGAATTCCCACTAGATTGAATAACATTCCTCATTCGCGAGAAATCAGGGAATATTTTTATGATGATGCGCTACAAGCTACCAAAAGAGCCATAAATGATGGAAAAACTCGATTGAAGGTCAGATGTTTATTGAATCTCTTTCTTATATATTGTACCACCTACACGCTATTTGTTGAAATTTGACGTATTAGAAAATGGCTGTGGAACAACATAATTCAATTACATACTAAACAAAATACTCATGCTGCTGTGGGAATATATCCTGGCATATTACTTGTCACATTCCTGTAGCTAACCACCATCATGCTGCCGTTTGGGATTAAAGTGTTGATGATAATCATATGCTGTCTGCCTTCATCCTGTTGTTGGGATTAAATGAGCTGGAAAAATTTCTGCAAGGCATCACAACTTAACAAATGGTGAACAAAATACACATTGATTTTTTTTTTTTTTGGTACAATGGAGATACACATTGATACTAGTAAGCAGATTTGCCTATTCAAGATAAGTGGTGCCTAAATTTTAGATGCATCTTACATGGTGTGCTACAACTTTAAATATGTAAACTCAAGCGTAGGTTGTGCGAAGTAAGATAGATTCAGAACATCAAGGTCGAACCCTTAGGGAATTGTGATAACAATAGAAACCACACTAAATTCTGTAANGAGGACAGGATACATCTAGGCTCATTTTTGCATTTTTATCAGTAAGCCTAAAAGTAGAGATGAATTTGTGACGAAGGTTGACAGTGGATGACAGCCGTAGATGACAAATTGTGTTACCTAAGCGAGTGATCCCCAAGGAGGGGAAGATTGATGGGGATATTCCAATAGAAACTGAATAGGACGGATTTATGTAGAAGCCTTGATGCAAAATCAAAGAGGAAATAACAGCTGATGATTGTAAGGCAGCCAGGCTCTATGGTGAAAGGTATGAGAGTGATAACTGATGATTGCAAGGCAGCCAGGCTCTATGGTGAAAGGTAGGAGAGTGAAAATCTGTCAATGACAAACTTTTCTTCATGCATGAAGAAGGTGTAAAGTGTGTAGCAATATGAGTAAGGCTTTGCATTATGACCTATTACCTTGAGATGAGTTGTGAAGTATATAAACATTCAGTTGTGCAATGATTTCTTCTGGTGATAGAGTTCACAAATACAATATTCTCTCAGAAGTTTGGCAATGATTCAACAGAGTTTGCATTAAGTCTGCTGCTACAACTTTAAAATTGATCACCTAAGTGTAGGTTGTGCGAAGTAATAAATTTCTCGAGAGTCCGAGGTTGAACCACAAGGAATTGTGAAAACAAGAGACACAAAACAAATAAAAGAAAACTGTTTTGAAATTTATTTGAGTAAGAATTTATTCAATAGAAGAAAGGTGGGTTGGTTAAAACAATAATTGAAATACTAAAGCATCGGAGATACCCTTTCAAATCCACACAATAATTATTAATGATTTAGTTTTCGAACTCAATTGAGAATCAGCTGAGGAGTGATCCCAATTGAAATATTTAGCGGTGATAATATGAAAATATCAAAAGTTATCATTAATAAATTATCTGAATAAATATAAAAATTTACTTATAGATTATAAGCATTCACTGTGCCCGGAACATACGATAAATCAAGTTTTCTAACAGATAAACATTATTTTATTGCAAATAATAAATTAACTATCTTATGAGAAATTCTAATTAATTAATTCAAAAATGAAATAACCAATTATTTGACTTCCGGGGAATCTCAAGCATTTAATGTACGTGGCACAATAAATCAAGAAATTATACTGAGCAAAAACTTTACTAAAAGATAAGAATTAAATTAAAAGAATAAATCGTGCATTAAAAAGAACATTGAATCAATAATAAATACTATGCTTCATTGAAAGTATTTTCTCTATCTTTAGTTGGGCTTTTAGTAAGCCATAGAATTAGAACAAAAACTAGAAAAAAAAATATGAAAACAGAATAATAATCTTAATCATTCCCTCTCAATAGGTGAGAGCCCTTATTTATACTAAAATAAGGCCTAAGTATAAGTAGGAGATCTAAGGTAGGGTTGAGAGGAATTCCTTTCCAAAAAGAAGTCTTTTAAGGTTAAATTCCGTGCATAAAATCTTGGGGACCGCAGATACCAAATTTGTCTAGAATTTGATCTTGAATTTCCCATATTTAGAGACCAATTCACAAAATTTTTGTAAAATACACTTTTATAGCCCTTGAAGTCTTCTTTCCAACCCCGCAAAAATCAGGTCAATCGGATATTGGAGTCAAAAGTTATGATCAAAATACTGAATACCTGTTAAATCCTTATCTTCTAGAATACTTTCCTAATCCAACTTTAAATGAGTTTTCTTTTCACTTGGACTCTTATAAAAATTAAATTGTCACATTAACTTCAAATCTTCCTATCTTAATCTTGACTCTTCAATCTTTATCAATTGTGNCTTTAAATGAGTTTTCTTTTCACTTGGACTCTTATAAAAATTAAATTGTCACATTAATTTCAAATCTTCCTATCTTAATCTTGACTCTTCAATCTTTATCAATTGTAATTCTTCCTCTAGTGATTGTTTCACTTGTTTTATCTATTATTAATTTAAATCAACCAATTTACCTACAAAATAAATCAAACAACTAAAAAATGTATCAAACTAAAAAATCCATGAATTTATCACATTTAATTACAAATAATATGCAATTAATCAATCATTAAATATAATAAAATAACATTTTTGATGGTTAATCATCTGCCACCTCTCTAAATCTTCTTCATCCGCCTGTAACCTCAGAAGTTGACCAGTCAGCCTGCTGTTTGGAAAAAAAAATGATGAACAGAAATAGAATATGTCCATTGGCGGACAAAATATCTTTTAGTCTGAAATATGTCCTTCTTTGTGTAGAAATTATATCATTCATAAGGCAAACATAAATGCATCTTCAGAAATTAGAGATGAAACTAACTGAAGATATGGTGAGGGAACTTATTTGAGGTGTTAATTTCATCCAAGCTCAATGAAGGCCAATAAAGGCATCATTGAGGATCAAAATTAGGAGGCCGAACAGGACATGGATTGAGGTGGTGAGAAAGAACGTGAAATCATGACTGCAAGGATTTAACTGAGGACTTGGATGTGGACAGAACAAACCATCAAGTTCGAGTTTTTGTGATCAAGTCCTTGCAGGTTTTAGTCCTGCTGAGGGCTTGGTGGGCTGAGATTTTGTTAGATTATTAGTTTACCCATGGCAGAAACCAACACAGTTTTATTCATTCCGATTGTACAATCTTCCCCTTAGACTTTTCAACGTTTGCCTAAATATTAGTTACAGAGGCCATAGTTTATGCCTTTATGGCTTGCCTTGTATTCCAAATGTTGGTCATAGTCTTTCATATCATGGCAAGACATCATTGAGATAGCATGGCAAGACAGTGTTGTTCAACATGTGTGATTGACGTTACATCAAATCAAACAGTGCGGGAAGTATATTTACTCTTTAAACACAATTTATTTGTTCCTTTGTTAACCTAGTTACTTGTTCTGAATCATAGAATGCCTTTTTGTGAACCCAACTCTACTCACTATAAGCTCTTGTATTGGCACCTATCATGTACAATACAGGTGAAATCACGTCTGCAAATATATAAGCAAAATGCAGAGGCAGTCATTTCTGCATACCGAGAGATACTGAATAAGGTGTTTTCATCCCTCAGTTATATAGATTTTGCATACTCTTATCACATTTTCTGTTTGAGTAATTATATTTGTTCATATTTTGATTTACAGATTGATGGAAATCGTCCTAAAGATGTAATTTTCAAAGAAATAGACTCTTTGTTGTCACAAATACAGAAAAAGAAAGTGGAGGCAGCGAAACTAGGTATTAGTTAGGTGTTGAGACACAATATTTATGTTCTCATCACAGATATTTGATAAGATACCATCCTACAGTGGATGGTCGAAAAAAAAAGTGGNAGGTATTAGTTAGGTGTTGAGACACAATATTTATGTTCTCATCACAGATATTTGATACGATACCATCCTACAGTGGGTGGTCGAAAAAAAAAGTGTTAGTGTACACATGAGAAAATCTACAAAATTTTGCTAATGGATTCTTCAAATATCTTTTTTTATCTCTTATACTTTTATCATACCTTCGATGGTCTCAATCTCTTATAATCTATCTATGTGCATATCACTAGGGTGATTTAGTATGTCCTAGCCCATCATGATTTGGGTGATAATTCTATGTATATGGTGAAAATTTTGCTTGAACCTAGCAACCCATTGGCATAATTCAAAAATCTAAAGTTCACCGAGCAGTGGACTATTTTCTTTCAGTCGAACTTCATTCTGTTTCTTATCTACACCAGGAAAACCAGCAATTGAAAGTGAAATCCACATAAAGAAAGAATCCTCGAGCAAGGTATCTGGTTATGAATTTTAAAATTCTTCTCTCCCAAAATTTCCATTTTATATTCATGGGGGATGAGAAGCTGTAGATGAACATACCTTGTGGCTCTGTCACTTTCTCATTGTAATTTATGGACATCTTACAGGAAACTTGGAGAGGAATTCCCACTAGATTGAATAACATTCCTCATTCGCGAGAAATCAGGGAATATTTTTATGATGATGCGCTACAAGCTACCAAAAGAGCCATAAATGATGGAAAAACTCGATTGAAGGTCAGATGTTTATTGAATCTCTTTCTTATATATTGTACCACCTACACGCTATTTGTTGAAATTTGACGTATTAGAAAATGGCTGTGGAACAACATAATTCAATTACATACTAAACAAAATACTCATGCTGCTGTGGGAATATATCCTGGCATATTACTTGTCACATTCCTGTAGCTAACCACCATCATGCTGCCGTTTGGGATTAAAGTGTTGATGATAATCATATGCTGTCTGCCTTCATCCTGTTGTTGGGATTAAATGAGCTGGAAAAATTTCTGCAAGGCATCACAACTTAACAAATGGTGAACAAAATACACATTGATTTTTTTTTTTTTTGGTACAATGGAGATACACATTGATACTAGTAAGCAGATTTGCCTATTCAAGATAAGTGGTGCCTAAATTTTAGATGCATCTTACATGGTGTGCTACAACTTTAAATATGTAAACTCAAGCGTAGGTTGTGCGAAGTAAGATAGATTCAGAACATCAAGGTCGAACCCTTAGGGAATTGTGATAACAATAGAAACCACACTAAATTCTGTAACAAACTTTGAAGATGGTTTGTTTCAAAAGAGTGTTTGAATTAATAAAACCGAGTAAAGTGATTCAAACAGTATGAAAAAAATACTAGAACGTAAGATACATCCTCTCAAATCCATACAGTAATGATTAAAGACTTAATTTTCAAACCTAGACAAGAATCAAGTGTCAACTGACTCAAGTCATTGAATTTAGAAATAAAAACGAGAATACACTTCTGTTTATAACCAAAAGTTTATCCAGAAAAATCAATGAATTGGTTTCTGATTGTAAGTATTTACTGTGTCCGAAGTCTACAATAAATCAAACTTTCCTAACTATTGTAATTATGATTTACCCAATTAACCCTCCAATTATATTATTATGTGGAATAAATTGTAATTAACATAAGTATGGAAGAACTAGTCATTTGTCTCGCAGGAAAATTCAAGAAATTAAGGTATGAGACACAATAATTCAAGAATCTTTACAGAGTAAAAATTTTACTAAGAATCAAAAGTTAAATTAACAAAATATCATATACCATTAAACCCATAAGTCAATAACAATATCATACTTCATTGAGAAGATCTCCCCTAGCCCTAGCTAAACCTCTTAGCTAANTCAAGAATCTTTACAGAGTAAAAATTTTACTAAGAATCAAAAGTTAAATTAACAAAACATCATATACCATTAAACCCATAAGTCAATAACAATATCATACTTCATTGAGAAGATCTCCCCTAGCCCTAACTAAATCTCTTAGCTAGACATGACAACAGTAAACCAAAGGAAAATAAATAAAAATACTAAAGTAAAGGTACTCTCTACACAATCATCCTCTCCTATATATAGCATGATTTTAGAAAAGATCTAATTGCAATATAACTCCTCTGCTGGCGTTGGCACTCTAGCCACACGCGTCCAGATGCGTTTTTTCAACCGTCTGGATGCGATTGACAGTATGTTCCAACTCTTCATGCATCTNATAAGTATGGAAGAACTAGTCATTTGTCTCGCAGGAAAATTCAAGAAATTAAGGTATGAGACACAATAATTCAAGAATCTTTACAGAGTAAAAATTTTACTAAGAATCAAAAGTTAAATTAACAAAATATCATATACCATTAAACCCATAAGTCAATAACAATATCATACTTCATTGAGAAGATCTCCCCTAGCCCTAGCTAAACCTCTTAGCTAAACATGACAACAGTAAACCAAAGGAAAATAAATAAAAATACTAAAGTAAAGGTACTCTCTACACAATCATCCTCTCCTATATATAGCATGATTTTAGAAAAGATCTAATTGCAATATAACTCCTCTGCTGGCGTTGGCACTCTAGCCACACGCGTCCAGATGCGTTTTTTCAACCGTCTGGATGCGATTGACAGTATGTTCCAACTCTTCATGCATCTCAGCCTTCACCTTCTGTCACTTCCGTCCGGACACAAAGCATTCCACCCACTAGACGCACATTCCTGAAAGCTCCTCCTCAACTATGCTTCTCCTTTCACTTTATTTCTTCCAATTTTAAGTCATTTTTCTGCAAAATAAACACAATTCTTTCAGTACTAACATAACATCAATTCTTTAATAAATTATCACACTTACCAACTTTTTCCAACCAAATAATTAGTTTTTTCCATCAATTAATTACATTATGAGACCATAATCATGGTGCACCGGCTTTTTGCAAATGCAAAACTGCCTAAATAACTGGTGTTTTTTGTCATTTTTTCCAACAAGACAATATAATTCTTCATGGGGTATGCAATTGTTTCCTCTTTTTGGTGAAGCATTATACTTGAATTAAAAGGATGAACTCCTTTTTTCGGCTTCGGTCAGCAAGCCCACCTTATGAACGTGTGCTGTGACCACAACAGGGCTAGCAAAATTTACCGTTGAAGTGAATCAGATTACAGACCTACCATGATACTCTATAAACAGGAGTGACCTTAGTCTAATAATAAGGTGGGTAGAAGCAAGCTTTGCATGTTCTTTCATAGGAGACTAGTTCTGTGGAGTATTTTGCTTTTCTCCCTGGCTTTACTGCCCTTGAAAATTTTACTGTCAAAGGTGGGTTAACTAAATTATATTGCCATTCAACTTGACAGGTGGAGATCAGTATCCCAGAGCTGAACCCAGAAATGGTGAGGGACATTTTTCCTTGGCTGCCCCATAATTTGTTTGGATTTAACTATATCTTATGATGCACAGGATGTTTATCGAATAGGTACATTGTTGGAACTAGTTCGTGTTCTCACCCTATCATTTTCTGATGATGGAAAGCGCGTCAAGGTATATTAATCTTGGTTGAATACTATTACAGTCTTGTTCTTCTTGTTGTGGCAAAACAGTTCATATATGGGAATTAATTGGGCTTCTGTGTTTTCAGGTTTGTGTTCAAGGGTCTATGGGAGAAGGAGCACTTTCTGGGATGCCTCTGCAGCTTGCTGGAAGTCGAAAGATCTTGGAGCTTATGGATTGGGGTGATTATGGTGCTATGGGCACCTTTATCAACATAGGCTCTATAGGTCTTGGACTGAATCAAAATGATGTGCATACATATTAATATACCCCAAGGCATAGCATTAAGTATTCTTTTTTTCCTCTGTTTTTGGGTTTTGGGGGGTGTAAATTTTTGGTTGTTATTTCCGATGAATCATCCCATATATAAACACATCCAAACAACAATGTTATCACAAAGTCGGTCTGTACAAGGATAATTCACAAGTTGGGCTTTTTGGCTTGTGTTGTGAAAATTTAGTTGTGACTTGTGAGAAAGGTAACTCTAAAGGGATAATGAGTTTTTATAAAATTTTCCATTTCCTTTTCTATTCTTACTCATTTTATTTTCTAAACTTGGGCCTCCTCACACCTGAGTATGATTTGTTTGGTACATGTACTTTTGTTTCACTCGTCAAATTCATTGTTATTCCTCGGCCAATAATGAACATTCTTTTAAGAAGGCCCGTACTATATATTTGCATTGATGATGTGTCCTTTCTTCTTTTCTTTTCAGTGAAGTAGAATGCTTCTCTGCCCATTTGTCCTCCTTGTATTGCGGTTTCAAACTGTAAAAACTTGTTCTTGTCAAATTAGATAAATCCACCGCTATTTATTTTAGTCTGCACTGATGTCTCATGCATGAAATAAAAAAAGGCTTACACAAACTATATCACCAATCATTCTATTGCCCGGACCCCCTAATAATGGTAAATTTCATAAATAAGCACTATGACTATAATCTGCTATGATGTTTCTTCAAGCCACTAGTGAAAATAGCTGTTTAACCGTATTGTTAGAAGTGTAGCTCCCTATGAATGTTGCATCAAATGCATTGCTTTTTCTGTTGATTGCATAAAATTTAAGTTTTTAATTTACTGATGTCAATATCACGTGTTCTATANAGCTGTTTAACCGTATTGTTAGAAGTGTAGCTCCCTATGAATGTTGCATCAAATGCACTGCTTTTTCTGTTGATTGCATAAAATTTAAGTTTTTAATTTACTGATGTCAATATCACGTGTTCTATATTTTTTGCAGGTGCCAAAGAGGTAGATGAACTAGATGACATGTTTATTTTGGTGGCTCCTCAAAATGCTGTGGGAAACTGTATCATTGATGTGAGGCACTTGAAAAATATTTATTATGCTTTGCACACTACAACTCAAGTTTATATGCTTTGTTTTAACCTTTTCTTTACTAGCCCTGGGATTGATTGAATAAATCAGGATCTTAAAGCTATGACTGATGCTGCTGGTACCCGTCCAGTCATTCTTGTCAATCCACAACTCAAGGTTAGATCTCTAGAAAAGTTTAAGGTGGTTGAATTTTTATCAATTTCATTTCAATGTATAAAAACATTGTAATTTTCCTCTTTATGTATTCACCATAAGGAAACGTGAAGAAAACTTTTGACTTCTTCATTGTTTGGATGCTGCTGGGGATTCCTAAAGTATTTATCTACTGTACTACCGACTTACCAATATTAGTATTGATCTAGTGGCATCAAATCATGGTTCTGGGTACAAATAATACTTACAAAAATTTACTTGCAAACACTTTTTACTTACTAATAGCGTTGCCATTCTCTTCATGTTTAGGACTTACCTAGTTCCAGTGGTATCATGCAAGTAAGTACACCAGCAAGCCATAGTGACAGCCGCTAGCCAATATATATTTGTCTGGTTCTAACTACGCTATAAATCTACCAGACAATGGGTCGGGATAAGAGATTGGAATACGCTGCTTCATTTGAGATCTGCTATTTTTTTCGTCTTCTCTACTATTCAGGGACACAATATCCAATTATGGCTGCTCTCAGGTAAGCTTATTGCACATCTTATTACTTTATAAAGGAATTGAAATCTCTTTATATGTAGATTATTAAAAAGTAAATGGATCATATCCCACTAGCGAATCCCTCTCCTACTGGTCGTCTTATAAATTTGGGAACTGTGATATTTAGCCACACTGGCTAAAGTTCATTTCCCTTTTCCTCATATTGGCCTCTTGAATATCTCAGCTTGCTTGGGTACCTTTTTCCGGTTTGTGGGTTGGCAATTGATTGAACCAGCGCCTACCATGCTTAAACCTTTAGTCCGGTTTTAGCATGGTAGGGGCTGGTATAAGACAGTATAGCTACCAGAATTCACTAAATTGCTGACGACCCACGTTTTAGGTACATTTATCCCAAATGGGGTGGGTTAGCGATTTAGATCACCAAAATATGCGATCCCAAATTGTACAGATAACACAAATATAAAATACATATTATTTAACTACGTGTATATAGATTTATAATTATATATTATTTTAGATAATAGAAAGTTGAGCACAAATGTAAAATAAATGGTAATTGACTTAGTATTTATGAATGTTTTATAATATATAATGTTGTATAGTGGTAAAAACGATCTAGATAAAAATTTCAAAATGAATTGCGACCTAAAATACCGTAGCAACTAATCCTACCCCTATCGTATCACATACTTAAGAAAGTGTCGTATTGCGTAGTCGTACCTGTATCACGTACCAAAACGACCCACGATCTAAATAACATTTCAACCCAAACCATTCTACTTTGGGAAAAAGAATTTGGACCTTTTTTTTCCCATCATGATCCATTCCTGTATTCGTAACGTGTTGTTTTTGTTGAGTTATATTTGGCACAAAAGATCATGCTACAAGTGTTTTTGTCTTGGTTTCTCTCTTGATTGAGAATGATGCTAGTATTACAACTCTCCTGAAACACATAACTAGCTCAAAATTTCTCCTGCACAAGTTTTATTAGTGTGGTCACCTCATGATTTCAGGATGTCTTATCCATACCATTATGAATTATACAAGAGGTTGGATGTATCGCCTGGGAAGGAGAAATATGTCATCTTGTCAACATTTGCAGAAAGGCCGAATGGTGATGAAATCAACAATGTGTTTGAAGGAAAAACAAGGTAACAAATGAAGACATATTTATCGTTTAGAAATGCTTCCTTACTATCTTTGATTACTTCCATCACTTGTTAATCCATTCACCATCTACTTTTGATTCTGTTCTGATGGACACTCGCAGAGATCAAGTTAAGAAAGCCTCAGGAATTTGGTAAGTATCCTCCTTGTTCATCACATCGTGTTTTTGTGCCTCTTAATGTTGATTGATTTATTCTGATTCCAGGGGCTTCTTGAGCAGCATAATGAGTTGAAAGTGGGAAATTATTAGACTACAATGTGCTTGCAGTACAGAGTCTCAATTCAGAAGTTGAGATAAAGGAATGCATTTTGTTCTTTAAATCTCTTCAACGCTACATAAAATGCACAGCATATTGATCGGATTTGAAAGGTGTATTGCTATAAGAATCTAATGATGTCATTCTAAAAGCAAAGCAGGCCAGAGATGATGTGCCAGAAATTCATTCCTCGCAATGAGTGCATCTTTCTCTCGTAGTTACTAGAGTTACATACCTATCCATTATGTTGAATGTTTTTCTGCTCCTTTTTCTTTATTTTTGTCCAGAAGAGAGAGCGTGTGTAAGATTCAGCTCAATGCAACAAAGATTAGAACTGTTACATTGTGTATCATGGTTCCTTCATTCTTGTTCATTGAGACTCCACATGTTTGGAGTTTGACACTTGCTATAGAAATGATTTTTGAATCTGATGTTCAGAGATCTCATGTATATAACTTTGTTTCTGTTGCATCATATATTTGCTTGTATCTGTTTCTATTCATGCTATAGTTGGAAGGTGAAATTAGAACAAGTTTACTGTCAAATTCATTGGGTTCTGGGACTTGTGAAAATCTCCTCTAGTTATTGAAGGGTATGGCCTCTTCTCTGGCTATGGTGGAAGTGGCACCATAAAGAAGTATATGAATGTTTCCAAGGGGCCACCCAAGTTGGCCATTGTGACAATCCTGCGGCTGAGACAGGTTCTAGCCATCATCAGCTGATTCTTGAACACTAACCTATTAAATATATAGGGCGTAACTAGTGCACAAAACTCCTGTCATTGCAGAGTGTAGAGAGGGTTAAATACCGTGCAAGCAGAGAGACTGTTTTAAATGAACTATTGTTTTGTTAAATATGTTTCCGGGGACCATTACCAAGATTTCTGCCTTTCTACTTGTGCATGGATTGAAATGAATATGACTGATCACTTATACCTAACAAAGAGTCCCAGTCGCCAACGCTTATAGGTTCAATGCTGGCTAAGAGGACACTCCACCCTGAAGAGTTAGACTGCAAATTCTAATCTCTCTTCTTTTCTTTTTGGATTTTCAAATAGGTTCCTGGAGTTGAATAAACTCATTCTATGTTGACGTATTACTTGTCTTTTCGTTTGCTAACACAGTATGATCATGTAATAGTGAACTGCCACATGAGGCATGGTGAACCTCAAATATCCAATTACCAAGTGATACGTGGACAAAGAAGAGTCCCCCACCGAGAGTATTCGATCTCTCGAGGAGACCGGACTGAGCTCCTCCAAATTCCCTGGTGCTCACACAATTCTTAGGAGAACATTTGACTCTAAGCCCGAGCAATGATAACGATAATACATGTGAGTTCACTAAAATGACGAGTAACAAGAAATGATTAGTTGTGTCGTCATATCTACATTGGGGCCCTCATTAGATCTTGAAAAATTTGACTAAAAGTATAATTTTTACTGATGTGGACCGGTCAAGAGAGGCATCATTTAATGGTCGGTGCGCATATCTTANAGAAATGATTAGTTGTGTCGTCATATCTACATTGGGGCCCTCATTAGATCTTGAAAAATTTGACTAAAAGTATAACTTTTACTGATGTAGACCGGTCAAGAGAGGCATCATTTAATGGTCGGTGTGCATATCTTATTGCTCGACACAACTCAAAATGCCTAACATAAGCCATTAAATGTCTCAATAGTGCTCATGGAATGCTCGGTCTCCAAGCAGGGTAATCATTGCAATGTTTGGCACCAAGTGACCACCAACCTCCCCTGGGCTTGGTAAATGCGCGACTCAAAGGAGACAATAGTCTCTGACAAGTTACTCTAATGGGTGTTCGACTTGCCAATTTGATGTGACTCTTCTCAATGTATAAAACAATCCAAAGAGTTGGGTCTCTGGTATGCAAANCCAAGTGACCACCAACCTCCCCTGGGCTTGGTAAATGCGCGACTCAAAGGAGACAATAGTCTCTGACAAGTTACTCTAATGGGTGTTCGACTTGCCAATTTGATGTGACTCGTGACGTTTCATGTCATCACTTCTCAATGTATAAAACAATTCAAAGAGTTGGGTCTCTGGTATGCAACACAACCTGGTTTATGCAATACTCTCAATTCTCCCAACTTGAACATCAATTGACTTGGGCATTAAAAGGAATACGTCAAATATACATCTGACCCCTTTATTACCTTGTTCCTTGCTTAGAAATTGCATCCCCACTCAACAAGGTGTTGTTATCTCAACTATTGTGTATGATTCACTCTATGTAGTAGTTATTAGATTATGTGGATATAAATGTTGAAAAACTATATGGGATTTACTTATCAATATAATTATTTATTATTTGNCCCCTTTATTACCTTGTTCCTTGCTTAGAAATTGCATCCCCACTCAACAAGGTGTTGCTATCTCAACTATTGTGTATGATTCACTCTATGTAGTAGTTATTAGATTACGTGGATATAAATGTTGAAAAACTATATGGGATTTACTTATCAATATAATTATTTATTATTTGATGAGTATATCACATGCTGAAGATGAGATGACTCATGAGAGTACCATTGCCAAACGAATATCTACTCTTTTTAAAGGAGATATCACATTTGAATTATCATTAATTCTCTCAATTATTCAATTCAAAATAACCTACTATTAATACAAGTGAAAGTTATTTTATTAAAGTGAGGCACTCACTAATAAAGTGAATATTAAATGTAATTGTGACACCACGTCTCCACCCAATGATACCTGATTTATAGTCTAACAATAAACTCCCAATAATAAAAAAATGAGTGATCTAGAATCGTAAAAACTAGGTGAATGCCGAAAAGGGTTTATAATATATGAGGTTGATGGTTGTAATCCACCACATATGCTTGTTATCCAGTCTTATCACCAATCCTCCTTGTCATAAATGCTTATTCCCACAGATTAGATTGTTTCTACCCTCATAAATTAACTCATTAATTAGTAGCAACTGGCCAATTGAAAGGATAATGATGCCTGAGGCCAAGGAAAAAACTTGCATGGCCATCTATCTATTTCATTATCCATTATCCATATCTATCTATTTCCACGGAGAGGCAGCAGATTTAGCAAAAATGTCCATGATAGACCAACCAAACCCAGGACAGGATTGGCACCTAACCATCAGTCAGAAAAGATTCAGTCCAAATGATAGTTAGCAAAATCTTGTTTTCGCTAATTAGGAGTTACCCAAGTCTCTTAGAGTACCCTTCTAATTTGGGATAAAACCACAAGAAATGATCTCAAGAGAGATTAACAAGAAAAATAGCGGTGAAAGAGAGTTTTAACAATACTATCTAAAACCCACAAGGGCATGAACCAAACATGGAAAGAGAATGCAAATCACAGTTACCAAACATTCATACACTTTAACGTCAAATTGTGCAATTACTCTATTTCCTTCACCCAAATCCAACCCTAATTTGTTTAGCCCCAGTTTCAGTGGATCTTCTTCAGGAATTGAAAGTTTTAATCCATATATGGATCAACTTATGGGCCCTATTTATTTGCAGACACCTCTCGGTTTCAGCTGGTAATTTATACTTTGAAACTCTGCATTTCTTTAATGGAGCTAATTCAAGTTTCATTTCCTTTTATGGTTTTCATTGAAATTCATCCTTTCATTTTTCAGCATGCATGGTCCTTAGCACCGTGAGATTTAATTTAGTATTTGATCATTTGATATCGGATTTGAATCATGCTATAAGACCCAATTTTCATGTCTTGGTTAGTCCCGGCCCCATTATTTTATAATGACATCTATGTACTTGGTATAAACTAAAACCATAGTAGATAGTATTAAATGAGGCCTATCAGTATTAAATGAAACCTATCAATATTAATATCTAAAGTGACCAAAGTATTCTTGATAGACCAAGAGCGATAGATTGATGTAGGGTGTTTTTATCTTTTTTTAACTCAATACCATACATTAATCTCTCATTCAAACATGGATTGATATTAAGACAATAAACTCATACCTTATTTAAACCTTAATTCAAACATTGTATGGCTGAGATAGGATAAAGTAGCATACCAATTATTATTATAACTCAGTTTCATCTCACATTATACTCGACTATATATGCCATAAGGTTGTGTCTACCTCTCCTTTGCATTCCTCTCAACACCGTCGATTGATCAAATTGGATAACAACCGTTTAGCCAATGCTCTTACAATGCAAGAAAAATATCCATTTTGTTTAATAGAAATATTTGACGATACGTTCATCATCTTGTTAAAAAGTCGACCTTCATTTACCTCTTTCAATCCCACATTGTCTAATCAAAACAAATTCTTTCTACTCTTTCTCAGTGCATTTTTTAAGCCAAAAACTCACTTGAAGGAGGTGACTAATACTTAAAAGATTTACTAGAAAAATATTTATTGTTTAGTTGGAAGCCAAAAGATCTTTACAATTAGGAGAGATGCTATTATTCTATTTGACCTACCAGATAGAATTTATCATATTATATCTATTTTTTTAACTTTTCTCTCCTTAAAGAAAAGGTATACTTATGATCTTCTCAATACTAATCATAAAGTTTGGAGAGATTTAGGTATTCATTTCATTTCACGGTCATCCTTAGATTCTAGAAAGCAAGTTGTATCATCAAACCTTATGGACACATATCATCTTCCCTAATCCAGCAATCAATGATGAAAAAGTTGGTGGGCCCATCCCACTTTACAATGTATCAGTTTTCAGATGATGCTATATAAATTTAAAAGGTAAACTTAAAAATTAGACTTGATAATATCAATCATTGATTCAGATATACCTTTATCCAAAGACAATAACTCTTACACAAGAGAACCATAATTAGTTTTTAGTTCAATCATCAATGCTGCATCCCATGTAGTAGAGGATGTCTCTATCCTCTTTGTAGTTGATCCGAATCACTCTCTCTATCCTCTTTGTAATCTAACGTCTCAAAATCTTATTGCTATAATAATTGAAGGATTTTTAGTTCTTTTTCAATCATAAGAATTTATCCAAATAAACAGGTCTCTCTCTCTCTCCTATTACATGAAGAATACGAATTAGGATTACTTGTTATATTGAAATACAGACCAATGAACAAAAGATCTCCAAAATTAAAAAATGACAATTGTTGAAATCTAGTGGCCAACTTAAAAAGAACCCTGCCTCTTTCTCTCTNATATTAAGACAATAAACTCATACCTTATTTAAACCTTAATTCAAACATTGTATGGCTAAGATAGGATAAAGTAGCATACCAATTATTATTATAACCCAGTTTCATCTCACATTATACTCGACTATATATGCCATAAGGTTGTGTCTACCTCTCCTGTGCATTCCTCTCAACACCGTCGATTGATCAAATTGGATAACAACCCTTTAGCTAATGCTCTTACAATGCAAGAAAAATATCCATTTTGTTTAATAGAAATATTTGACGATACGTTCATCATCTTGTTAAAAAGTCGACCTTCATTTACCTCTTTCAATCCCACATTGTCTAATCAAAACAAATTCTTTCTACTCTTTCTCAGTGCATTTTTTAAGCCAAAAACTCACTTGAAGGAGGTGACTAATACTTAAAAGATTTACTAGAAAAATATTTATTGTTTAGTTGGAAGCCAAAAGATCTTTACAATTAGGAGAGATGCTATTATTCTATTTGACCTACCAGATAGAATTTATCATATTATATCTATTTTTTTAACTTTTCTCTCCTTAAAGAAAAGGTATACTTATGATCTTCTCAATACTAATCATAAAGTTTGGAGAGATTTAGGTATTCATTTCATTTCACGGTCATCCTTAGATTCTAGAAAGCAAGTTGTATCATCAAACCTTATGGACACATATCATCTTCCCTAATCCAGCAATCAATGATGAAAAAGTTGGTGGGCCCATCCCACTTTACAATGTATCAGTTTTCAGATGATGCTATATAAATTTAAAAGGTAAACTTAAAAATTAGACTTGATAATATCAATCATTGATTCAGATATACCTTTATCCAAAGACAATAACTCTTACACAAGAGAACCATAATTAGTTTTTAGTTCAATCATCAATGCTGCATCCCATGTAGTAGAGGATGTCTCTATCCTCTTTGTAGTTGATTCGAATCACTCTCTCTATCCTCTTTGTAATCTAACGTCTCAAAATCTTATTGCTATAATAATTGAAGGATTTTTAGTTCTTTTTCAATCATAAGAATTTATCCAAATAAACAGGTCTCTCTCTCTCTCCTATTACATGAAGAATACGAATTAGGATTACTTGTTATATTGAAATACAGACCAATGAACAAAAGATCTCCAAAATTAAAAAATGACAATTGTTGAAATCTAGTGGCCAACTTAAAAAGAACCCTGCCTCTTTCTCTCTCTAAATCTCAAAAAGCAAAACATAATTATTGAAATCTTGTTACTCTCTCTCTCTCTCTCTCTCTCTCCCTCTCCCTCTCCCTCATTCACTATCTTACTGTGTGTAGGTGTGAACAAAGTTGATACACCTACATATATAGTTTGAGATGAGGAAAGGGTATTGTTTACTAAAATATATACCAAGAGAATGACTCCACTTGGGTAATGCTTCATGTCAGGAGGTGGAAGTTAAGTGGAAGGCTGGTACTCTCATGAGACATGTCAAACAAACAGTAAGTGAAAAAAAAAGAAAAAACAAGCAGAGGAACACTTCTTCCGTTCTGTAACTTGGTAATTGGGTAAAGGGTTTCTCCATCAGTTTCCTCTGGTTTTTGGATTGCTCTATAAGGAAGGAAGAGAGAGAGAGAGAGGGGTTTTGGAGATGGCAGGAGGGTCTTTTGATCCAGTGGGTGTGACCAAGGATAGAGCTGAGCAGTACCAAGGGAAGGTCACCACTTTTGTGATCATTGCTTGCTTAGTTGCTGCTGTTGGTGGCTCAATTTTTGGCTATGACATCGGAATATCAGGTACACAAACTCTGCTTCTCAATTATAACTGTAATTTACCGTCAATAACACTTATGTACCACTCCACACCACTTCGAGAATTGTATTTTTCACATTATGACTCGTCTTTCTAAATGTTAATTTCGATAACTTTAACAGGAGGAGTGACATCAATGGATGAATTTCTCGAAAAATTCTTCCCCAGAGCCTATAAAAAGAAGCTGCACGCGCATGAAAACAACTACTGCAAGTACAACAGCCAAGGCCTAGCAATGTTTACCTCATCTTTATACCTTGCCGGTTTGGTTGCATCGCTGGTGGCGTCTCCTGTCACAAGGAAATATGGACGCCGCACAAGCATAGTCTGCGGTGGAATCAGCTTTCTTGTTGGTGCAGTTCTTAACGCCACAGCTGTCAACCTGGCAATGCTTCTTTTGGGTCGAATCATGCTTGGTTTTGGTATTGGATTTGGAAATCAGGTGCCTTTCTTCGTATGAAACTATTTAGATCGTGAGGAGTTTCATACATCTTGTTCAAACATATATCATTGATTTGTTTGTAAGTTTGGGCTTGGCTTCTAACAAGCTGAACAAAGCATTGTTTAAGCTTGATCGTTTAAAAACGATGTTTAAAATTGGACTCTCGTTCAGTCCATTTAAGGAATAAACGAATTTGAACGAGCTCTAACATGAGTTGAGACCGAACTCTTCATTCATGAACAGTTTGNATTGCTTACTGGGTCCACTCATCACATTAACCACCCGTATGACATCAGGTCGGATTGTAAGTCAATTACTCTATCGTGATCCACATATTCACAAACTAAATTTAACCCTTGGGATGTGTTCGATCATAGCCAGAATAAGAGTCGAATCAAAACATCCTTTTCACAAACAATTTCACAATAATAATAATAATAATACGAATTATAACTAACTAAATCAATTTGAGAAAGTGACACGTAACCACNGCTATGACATCGGAATATCAGGTACACAAACTCTGCTTCTCAATTATAACTGTAATTTATCGTTAATAACACTTATGTACCACTCCACACCACTTCGAGAATTGTATTTTTCACATTATGACTGGTCTTTCTAAATGTTAATTTCGATAACTTTAACAGGAGGAGTGACATCAATGGATGAATTTCTCGAAAAATTCTTCCCCAGAGCCTATAAAAAGAAGCTGCACGCGCATGAAAACAACTACTGCAAGTACAACAGCCAAGGCCTAGCAATGTTTACCTCATCTTTATACCTTGCCGGTTTGGTTGCATCGCTGGTGGCGTCTCCTGTCACAAGGAAATATGGACGCCGCACAAGCATAGTCTGCGGTGGAATCAGCTTTCTTGTTGGTGCAGTTCTTAACGCCACAGCTGTCAACCTGGCAATGCTTCTTTTGGGTCGAATCATGCTTGGTTTTGGTATTGGATTTGGAAATCAGGTGCCTTTCTTCGTATGAAACTATTTAGATCGTGAGGAGTTTCATACATCTTGTTCAAACATATATCATTGATTTGTTTGTAAGTTTGGGCTTGGCTTCTAACAAGCTGAACAAAGCATTGTTTAAGCTTGATCGTTTAAAAACGATGTTTAAAATTGGACTCTCGTTCAGTCCATTTAAGGAATAAACGAATTTGAACGAGCTCTAACATGAGTTGAGACCGAACTCTTCATTCATGAACAGTTTGGTTCATTGGTAGACTTCATATTTATGTGGTTCTCCATACATTCCATCTATTTGAATTTTCACATGAATGTAAGTAAACACTATTGCTGTTTGAAGGCTGTTCCCTTATACTTGTCGGAGATGGCACCAACACACCTCAGAGGAGGCCTGAACATGATGTTTCAGTTAGCGACAACTCTCGGAATCTTCACAGCAAACATGATCAATTATGGAACACAGAAGCTCCATCCATGGGGGTGGAGGCTCTCCCTCGGCCTGGCTGCAGCACCGGCACTCTTAATGACAGTAGGGGGAATCCTTCTCCCCGAGACACCAAACAGCTTAATCGAAAGAGGGTCGAAAGAAAAAGGAAGACAAGTTCTGGAAAAGATCAGAGGGACCAAAGATGTTAATGCAGAGTTTGAAGACATGATCGATGCGAGCGAGATGGCAAATTCGATAAAACATCCTTTCAGAAACATTTTGAAGAAAAGGAATAGGCCACAGTTGGTCATGGCAATTTTCATGCCAATGTTTCAGATTCTCACGGGCATAAATTCAATACTGTTCTATGCCCCGGTGCTGTTTCAGAGTATGGGATTCAAGGGAAATGCTTCTCTTTATTCATCGGCTTTGACTGGAGGAGTTCTTGCTTCATCTACACTGGTTTCTATAGCTACAGTTGATCGATGGGGTCGACGAATTCTATTGATTGGAGGAGGAATTCAGATGATTATATGTCAGGTAAGAAGTTTAACCTCAAATTAATCTACAGTGGTAGTTCTAGGAAAAATAATAGATTCACAAAACTGTCAAAAGTGCTATCATTGTAGTTCAAAATATCGGCTGATACAAATATAACTCAACCGAGTCATATTTGGAATAGCAACATCCGTTCTGAGACTAATATGTACATCACGAATCTTACTTGACTCGGACAACTTGGCCAAGTCATCGCCAATGATTCGCCTGTACCACTCAATACCAATGCGTGATGTCATGATATGATACTTTTTCTTCTATCTAGCGCTTTGTATGTGTCACCCAATACCATTCCGTGAAATTATAACCAATGCGCATCAGTGCCGTCCAAGTTGATGGCTAGTATAGCGACCCTGAACCATCTCTCATTGCACCATACTGTTCTACATAACAAAATTTAGCTTTGGCAATATCCCCTGTTTGCATCAATAAGATTACTTTGCTTAAATGTCTGCAATAAAAGCAGAGAGAACTCTGATCAGCAGAAGAACTGATTATGCATTTGATGCTTGTAAAACAGATTATTGTCACTATAATCTTGGGGCTCAAGTTTGGCAGTGACAAAGAGCTCTCCAAAGGTTTCTCAGTCCTGGTAGTGTTCGTCGTCTGCCTCTTTGTCGCAGCCTTTGGATGGTCATGGGGGCCTCTCGGCTGGACTGTGCCAAGCGAAATATTCCCATTAGAAACACGCTCTGCCGGGCAAAGCATTACAGTGGCTGTGAACCTCCTCTTCACATTCATAATAGCCCAAGCTTTCCTATCCCTCCTTTGTAGTCTGAAGTTTGGAATTTTTCTCTTCTTTGCTGGATGGATTACTATCATGACAGTCTTCGTTTACGTTTTCTTACCCGAAACGAAGGGAGTTCCGATTGAAGAGATGATACTGCTGTGGCAGAAGCATTGGTTCTGGAAGAAGATTGTATCTGAACATCCTGAAGCTGAGGAAAGTAACGGTGGACAAATCAGTTCATTGGAGTTAGGCTAATCAATCACAGTGAATTATTGAGCTCTTGATCTGGGAGGGGTTCCTAAAAGTTTTAGATTGAAGAGCAGTGAAATAGCATATAGATCCCAACATAAATATATAACGTACTACTACTACTACATGGTCTCTCCAAGGTCATTCTAACAAAATAAAGTCTTCAAATTTTGCTCACGTCCGTTTCCAATTATCATTAATTTCTATTCCCCAAAACCTGGAAACAAAAATGGAATAAGATTGGGTGAGCCCAATAACTAGTAAGTAATAGTCTATCTCTACCACTTGAACTAAGCACACACTTCAAACACATGTATTCAAAACCTTCACAAATAATGGAGGAATAAAATTTTCAAACCTCATAAAAATGCAGTAGTTCAATAGTAAAATGATATCATAATAATTCCACAATCGAATCGATACTCAACATTCTTTAACAGCTATAGCCACATTCACCCGTGACCAAATACTTAAATGCCACATAATGTATCTCCCCCATTGGCTGCTAGGTCCAAACATCACATAATGTATCTCCCCCATTGCTTACTGGGTCCACTCATCACATTAACCACCCGTATGACATCAGGTCGGATTGTAAGTCAATTACTCTATCGTGATCCACATATTCACAAACTAAATTTAACCCTTGGGATGTGTTCGATCATAGCCAGAATAAGAGTCGAATCAAAACATCCTTTTCACAAACAATTTAAAAATCATATGTCGTGCCATCAATAATATAAATTATAGTTTATTCTCAAAAAGAATTATCGTATCGCATCGCATATGCCAAGTCCGCATTTTTCAAAAAAATCATATAATAAAACATGGTGCAATGCTACTATATTAGAAATTAGTTCAATTTTCAATCAAAATGCACCACACATTTTAAGCACAAAAATACATTTAGTAGAAAAATACTAAAGAGAGGTAGAAAATTACTTACCAATCTTTCCAATCCAAAAGGAAAAGGAACACCACTCTCCTTGCTACACTTCCTTTGCAAGTCCTATAATAATAATACGAATTATAACTAACTAAATCAATTTGAGAAAGTGACACGTAACCATNACCAGCTTTGTACAAGATACAGGAAGTATCCCACAGCTCTAGCCAACATGAAGTCAGTTGGATCACCAGATATCCTATAGAATATGATAATGAAACTCTACTTGTTCTTGTACTTAAAGAGACATTTTCTTCTCATATCTATCTCTCTCCACGCAGACACACACTCACAATTGATAATAGAGTAAGAGCATCTCCAACCATACTCAGCAAAATAGCTACTCAAAATATATTTAAATATTAAATTTTCTATTTTAACTAGCTACTTTTTTAAATTCATTTCAATCACGCTCTCTATTTTAGTTAACTATTTCAACTAATTTTAATTAACTTTCAATAATATAATTCAAAAATGTCACGTGGCATAACACGTAAGTGCCATAATGATGACGGTGCAAGATGATGTGTCGTGTCATGTCTTCAAATTTTTAAATTTTCAACAGTCATATTTACAATTGTCATATTTTCAACAGTCATATTTACAACAGTAATATTTTTGAAAATGTATAAATAGTACCTCTCCCTTCTCATTGTCATATATCTCAAATTTATTTTACTGGTATTGCACTCATATTTCTTTGCTATGGCTCATGATGGTAAATTGAAGATGATTCTGACTTCGATGATGGGTTAGAGATGTTGGTAGTTGCTACTATGACAATGGAAAAACTCAATACTGAGAACAGCTTTGTAATACGTCGTGGTTCTATTTAAGGTCATTTTCTTATTTTTCACAATCGAGTTGAAGGGTATGAGAGATTTTATCGCGATTATTTTGTTGAATCGCCTACCTATCCCCCAAATTTATTTTGAAAGGGGTTTCGAATGAATCAATCTCTTTTCGTTCGTATTCTATCCAAAAAAAGGAATGCTATTGGGAATATTGGCTTGTCTCCCCTTCAAAAAATGGCTGTCATTATAAGAATGTTTGCCTATGGAGTTGTAGCAGATGTTGTTGATGATTATATGAGGATCAACAAAAGCACCAAATAAAAAGTCTGCAAAGATTTGTATCGACCATAGTAACAATTTATTTTGATCAGTATCTTAGGTCACCAAACAACACAGACATTGCTAGATTATTAGCAATCGGTGAGAAACGTAGATTTTTNCGAAATATTCCCATTAGAAACACGCTCTGCCGGGCAAAGCATTACAGTGGCTGTGAACCTCCTCTTCACATTCATAATAGCCCAAGCTTTCCTATCCCTCCTTTGTAGTCTGAAGTTTGGAATTTTTCTCTTCTTTGCTGGATGGATTACTATCATGACAGTCTTCGTTTACGTTTTCTTACCCGAAACGAAGGGAGTTCCGATTGAAGAGATGATACTGCTGTGGCAGAAGCATTGGTTCTGGAAGAAGATTGTATCTGAACATCCTGAAGCTGAGGAAAGTAACGGTGGACAAATCAGTTCATTGGAGTTAGGCTAATCAATCACAGTGAATTATTGAGCTCTTGATCTGGGAGGGGTTCCTAAAAGTTTTAGATTGAAGAGCAGTGAAATAGCATATAGATCCCAACATAAATATATAACGTACTACTACTACTACATGGTCTCTCCAAGGTCATTCTAACAAAATAAAGTCTTCAAATTTTGCTCACGTCCGTTTCCAATTATCATTAATTTCTATTCCCCAAAACCTGGAAACAAAAATGGAATAAGATTGGGTGAGCCCAATAACTAGTAAGTAATAGTCTATCTCTACCACTTGAACTAAGCACACACTTCAAACACATGTATTCAAAACCTTCACAAATAATGGAGGAATAAAATTTTCAAACCTCATAAAAATGCAGTAGTTCAATAGTAAAATGATATCATAATAATTCCACAATCGAATCGATACTCAACATTCTTTAACAGCTATAGCCACATTCACCCGTGACCAAATACTTAAATGCCACATAATGTATCTCCCCCATTGGCTGCTAGGTCCAAACATCACATAATGTATCTCCCCCGTTGCTTACTGGGTCCACTCATCACATTAACCACCCGTATGACATCAGGTCGGATTGTAAGTCAATTACTCTATCGTGATCCACATATTCACAAACTAAATTTAACCCTTGGGATGTGTTCGATCATAGCCAGAATAAGAGTCGAATCAAAACATCCTTTTCACAAACAATTTCACAATAATAATAATAATAATACGAATTATAACTAACTAAATCAATTTGAGAAAGTGACACGTAACCACAAGGCATCCTTCCAATATTAAATTAATTTTTATTATTCGGATACCTTATATTTGTCAATTATGTATTGGCCTTAAATTTAGATACTAAAACGATGCAAGTGATTGAAATAAACTATTAATCAATTGTTGAAGTCCGTTTAAATTAATAAGACTAAAATATTTAATAGGTTCTGAAAATCCTTCTTACCCAATCCGTGAAGCATAGTGGGTACTAATACAATACACTATCATGCACTAGCATCCAACTTAATTACTTTTCTAATGTGCATGTAGGGTTAATTATAGATGACTAGGCAAACTAACCCAGTCAGTGTTTCCCTTTGCATTAGGTTTTGTGCTCGACATTGGACAAGAAAGGCCAGTATAAAACTTTTTCTGTGTATGTGTGTATATATCTATGTATACAACTAAACATGTGTACCTATTAGGATAAGTAAGGTTTGACATTTACCAGTTTGTAGTTGAGCAATTCATGTCAACTTCCTCACTCAAGCTGAAAAACAATACAAAGAAAGAAAAAGAAAAAAAGAATGAATATCTATATCCACCATCAAAGTTTCGGTTTGTTCGAAAACAGAATAACATTTGAGAAAAATATTAGAATTCTAATTCTGAAATCCAAAAAAGTTTGAAACATCCTNACTTCAAACACATGTATTCAAAACCTTCACAAATAATGGAGGAATAAAATTTTCAAACCTCATAAAAATGCAGTAGTTCAATAGTAAAATGATATCATAATAATTCCACAATCGAATCGATACTCAACATTCTTTAACAGCTATAGCCACATTCACCCGTGACCAAATACTTAAATGCCACATAATGTATCTCCCCCATTGGCTGCTAGGTCCAAACATCACATAATGTATCTCCCCCATTGCTTACTGGGTCCACTCATCACATTAACCACCCGTATGACATCAGGTTGGATTGTAAGTCAATTACTCTATCGTGATCCACATATTCACAAACTAAATTTAACCCTTGGGATGTGTTCGATCATAGCCAGAATAAGAGTCGAATCAAAACATCCTTTTCACAAACAATTTCACAATAATAATAATAATAATACGAATTATAACTAACTAAATCAATTTGAGAAAGTGACACGTAACCACAAGGCATCCTTCCAATATTAAATTAATTTTTATTATTCGGATACCTTATATTTGTCAATTATGTATTGGCCTTAAATTTAGATACTAAAACGATGCAAGTGATTGAAATAAACTATTAATCAATTGTTGAAGTCCGTTTAAATTAATAAGACTAAAATATTTAATAGGTTCTGAAAATCCTTCTTACCCAATCCGTGAAGCATAGTGGGTACTAATACAATACACTATCATGCACTAGCATCCAACTTAATTACTTTTCTAATGTGCATGTAGGGTTAATTATAGATGACTAGGCAAACTAACCCAGTCAGTGTTTCCCTTTGCATTAGGTTTTGTGCTCGACATTGGACAAGAAAGGCCAGTATAAAACTTTTTCTGTGTATGTGTGTATATATCTATGTATACAACTAAACATGTGTACCTATTAGGATAAGTAAGGTTTGACATTTACCAGTTTGTAGTTGAGCAATTCATGTCAACTTCCTCACTCAAGCTGAAAAACAATACAAAGAAAGAAAAAGAAAAAAAGAATGAATATTTATATCCACCATCAAAGTTTCGGTTTGTTCGAAAACAGAATAACATTTGAGAAAAATATTAGAATTCTAATTCTGAAATCCAAAAAAGTTTGAAACATCCTAAAAAATCGGAAGAAACATTTCGAAACATGAAAATTTTGTTTTTCAACCATTGATTTGATCCTTGGGCCTGTATATATCATAGTTGAAATCCGGGAAAAGGACAATTTTCAGGCTTATGATAGTATGAGAGCTCAGGCAATAGTGTTATCTAACCAATAAGGGTGCAAAATTTTCAATGTACCAGCTTTGTACAAGTTACAGGAAGTATCCCACAGCTCTAGCCAACATGAAGTCAGTTGGATCACCAGATATCCTATAGAATATGATAATGAAACTCTACTTGTTCTTGTACTTAAAGAGGCAGAAGTATGATCCCACCAAATACTGAATGGAAATTACCCATAAATTCTGAAATGCCAATGTAACAGATAAACAAAGAAGTACACCATGTGTTTTGACAGTTCTCCAAAATAAAAGTCATACCCATTGCATAAAACTCCCCCGCCTATAGTGAGTTTGCGTGAGAGAAACGAAGACATTGTTATCCCCACTTTAGATATGCTAATTCACGAAATTCTACAAAAAGGGTAAGAGGTTAGACTCTGGCATTTCTTTACACTGACATTCAGTATTTTATGGTTTCTTTTTTTTTTTTTTTTTGGGGGGGGGGGTTAGTCGGAGGTTGCTTAAGTCAACTTCCGATTTATCATTTAAAGAAGCATTAAAAAACAAGCTGATAATATTAAATTGTCTACACTCCCCAACTTGTGGCATGTGCATTTCCACAAATCCATGCTGAAAACTTAGTTAAAGATGATGAGCAAACTAAGCCACACTCCATCAGGAGAGAGAGAGAGAGAGAGAGAGAGAGTATATTGTTTTTTTTTTTTGGGTCAGAAAAAAATATGTTGGTTCCATTAGAATAAATCTTGGTAAGAATTTCCCCAGACAATCATTACAGAATTCCATTTTTTGTTTTCGATACAGAATTTGAGTGTTCACAGGCTAGTAGCCCTAAGTCAACTATGTCCATTTTATAACCGAAGTCTAAGAAGATTAGTTCTCATTCTCCAATATAGAGCTCGCTTCTGTGACTCTATTTTTTCCAAAGGGCATCGGAGATGGCTGGTGGATCTTTTGCTCCGGCCGGCGTGGCTAAGGAGAGAGCAGGGCAGTATCAACGGACAGTCACCTGTTATGTCATCGTCGCCTGCGTTGTTGCAGCCGTAGGTGGCTCACTGTTTGGTTATGACATTGGAATATCAGGTTCTCTCTTCACCCGCCTACAGAATAGAAATATAAATTTTCCAACTTTTTCTTTTCTTTGCTTTTGTTTTGTTCTGATTGTGGTGAAAAGACAGAATCAATCGATTATCACAAGAATATACTAAATGTCTGGTTAGCGAAACTAGGGCATAAACACGCATCTTATGCAGATTGTTCCTAGCATAACCTGCATACCTTTGTCTGATACTTTTTTCCTAGTCAAATCTGCAATCTTGTGTCACGGTCAGAATAGGATTGGGGGATAGGCATGAAATACTCCATTCTATGAAGTTGAACATGGCGAGAGATTCACGCATGTCTACCTACCTATGATTTGGATGACTCAGAGATGTGTGGAACGACTTGGCCGAATCATGTGAGACGTATGAGATTGGAAGCTTCTGACTTATAACTCGGCCGAATTGAACTGTGGGGTGTGTGTGTGTGTGTGTGTGTGTGTGTGTGTGAGAGAGAGAGAGAGTTGTAAATTCCAATCATGAATCAGAAAAGTACTCATTTCCAACAAGAAGATTAATGAAACTGCTCGGAAACTAACTTCAGCAATTATTACTGACAGGAGGGGTGACATCAATGGATGGATTTCTTGAAAAATTCTTCCCCACAGTTTACAGAAACAAAAATCGTGCGCATGAAAACAACTACTGCAAATACAACAACCAAGGCCTAGCAGCATTTACATCTTCTCTCTTNCCCCCGCCTATAGTGAGTTTGCGTGAGAGAAACGAAGACATTGTTATCCCCACTTTAGATATGCTAATTCACGAAATTCTACAAAAAGGGTAAGAGGTTAGACTCTGGCATTTCTTTACACTGACATTCAGTATTTTATGTTTTTTTTTTTTTTTTTTTTTTGGGGGGGGGGGTTAGTCGGAGGTTGCTTAAGTCAACTTCCGATTTATCATTTAAAGAAGCATTAAAAAACAAGCTGATAATATTAAATTGTCTACACTCCCCAACTTGTGGCATGTGCATTTCCACAAATCCATGCTGAAAACTTAGTTAAAGATGATGAGCAAACTAAGCCACACTCCATCAGGAGAGAGAGAGAGAGAGAGAGAGAGAGTATATTGTTTTTTTTTTTTGGGTCAGAAAAAAATATGTTGGTTCCATTAGAATAAATCTTGGTAAGAATTTCCCCAGACAATCATTACAGAATTCCATTTTTTGTTTTCGATACAGAATTTGAGTGTTCACAGGCTAGTAGCCCTAAGTCAACTATGTCCATTTTATAACCGAAGTCTAAGAAGATTAGTTCTCATTCTCCAATATAGAGCTCGCTTCTGTGACTCTATTTTTTCCAAAGGGCATCGGAGATGGCTGGTGGATCTTTTGCTCCGGCCGGCGTGGCTAAGGAGAGAGCAGGGCAGTATCAACGGACAGTCACCTGTTATGTCATCGTCGCCTGCGTTGTTGCAGCCGTAGGTNGACTGCATGCATTAGAGATGAAAAAATTGTCTAACAACATGAAAAGATGTGTACTCTGGTCACGTTCATAAACTAACAATTATTTTAGATGTGGTGGCTTCATATGATCTATGGATTTGACATGCCTTTTTTGCGTTACCTGGATCCCACAATGATATAAATGTGCTAGAACACTCTTCTGTTTTTACTCTTCTTTCGGAAGATAGGGCTCCTCCAATCAATTACTCTATCCATAAAAACGATTATACTATGTAATATTATCTTGCTGATGGTATATATCCAAAGTAGGCCACGTTTGTCAAAATATGNCATCTTATGCAGATTGTTCCTAGCATAACCTGCATACCTTTGTCTGATACTTTTTTCCTAGTCAAATCTGCAATCTTGTGTCACGGTCAGAATAGGATTGGGGGATAGGCATGAAATACTCCATTCTATGAAGTTGAACATGGCGAGAGATTCACGCATGTCTACCTACCTATGATTTGGATGACTCAGAGATGTGTGGAACGACTTGGCCGAATCATGTGAGACGTATGAGATTGGAAGCTTCTGACTTATNTGTGAGAGCTCGGGCAATAGTGTTATCTAACCAATAAGGGTGCAAAATTTTCAATGTACCAGCTTTGTACAAGATACAGGAAGTATCCCACAGCTCTAGCCAACATGAAGTCAGTTGGATCACCAGATATCCTATAGAATATGATAATGAAACTCTACTTGTTCTTGTACTTAAAGAGGCAGAAGTATGATCCCACCAAATACTGAATGGAAATTACCCATAAATTCTGAAATGCCAATGTAACAGATAAACAAAGAAGTACACCATGTGTTTTGACAGTTCTCCAAAATAAAAGTCATACCCATTGCATAAAACTCCCCCGCCTATAGTGAGTTTGCGTGAGAGAAACGAAGACATTGTTATCCCCACTTTAGATATGCTAATTCACGAAATTCTACAAAAAGGGTAAGAGGTTAGACTCTGGCATTTCTTTACACTGACATTCAGTATTTTTTGGAAGAATTCCCATTCACAAATGACTATAAGATTCTTTTTTCAGAAGTAACTAGCTTTCCTATCATTATCAAGCGCTCAATCTCATCAAAACACAGTTTAGATCCTCACGAATTCCAAGACAGACTATTCAATGGGCGTGCACATGGTAGTTCATCCAGATCACGACAACCCAAAATGAGGCATAGAATCTGTGTAAAAAAGATAACCACATATATTCCAAGTGGAGGAAACAACACAAAAATACAACCTTTCAATTATTGAAATTCACTTTTAGCAGGGAAGAAGACCATTTTTGGTATGTCATTTTCAAAAATAAAGGTCGTAATTCAAAATTGGACACCTTCTGAACAAGCTTTTGCCTTTACATCATTTTTTTTTTTTGGTACAGATTTTAAAAAGATTTGTCAGCCTGCAATTTTGACTCAATTGAACAAAGTTTTAATTCCCACTGCAGTAATACTATGCTGATCAAATTTTAGGACTAAATTTAAAACCCAAATACATGACAACATATTATTTGAAGGCTTTATTAGGCCCAAATGATATGACTCCAAATAAAAAAGTTTAAGTCAACTGTCATGTCATTTAGACTCCAAAATTAATCAGAATAGCATTACTCTTCAAACTATTTGGGTTCAAATATATAAATCATGTTCACTCCTTTTTATTGGTGCATTAATGGGTCATCTATAAATATCTCCAAGCAAACTAAGTGGATGCCATGAATTTTTATGGTTTCTTTTTTTTTTTTTTGGGGGGGGGGGGGGGGGGGG